CTGATCCTGATTCTTCTCTTGACTCTGATTCTTCTCCTGACCCTGGTTCGTGTCCACCACGGATGACCCTGCTGGTGTCTGAAATCCTGGCGGCTGAGCTCCAAGCAGCACGGACACCTGCAAGCCGCTGCCAGGTGGCAGGACTCTTACGCTGAGGCCACATCTGCTGGCTAAAGATGGAGTCCAAGAACCCAACAAAGGGGCATTTCCCCCGGTCACAAGACAAAGGGCAACAGGTCTCAGATCACAGAAAGGACAGACGAGGAAGAAAGGCCTGGTGATCCACTTCTGGAAATTGCCGGCAGAAACCCCACGGAGCCCGGTGGCCTGAGCCGGCGTTGGGGGTGGGGAGCACAAGGTGGGGTGGCCGTGAAGGTAGTGGTTGTTGGGGGCTGTCGAGTCTGTCCCAACTCATAGCAAGTCGAAGTTCAAGGAGGGACACTGAGCCCAGCCCTGCACCAGCCCCAACCGCTCTCCTGCGTGAGCCGCGGTTCAGCCCGGCGCCCATCATTGCCTTCCTGTGCGCTTCCCCGCACCTTACCAAGCAGGAAGTCCTTCTCCGGAGATGGCACGCCCACAGTATGTGAGGCCGAGTCTCCTCCCGTCGTAGCCTCTAAGGAGCGTTCTGCTTGCGTGAGACTACACATCAGTTCCACACGTCCTTCCAACCAAAAGAACCCCATAGCCGTCCTGTGGATTCTGGTGTGCAGCCACCCTGTGCGGCAGGCTGGAATGGCCCTGTGGGCTCCGGAAGCAGAGAGCCCCCTCTTTCTCCGGACGAGCAGCTGGCAGCTTTGAACTGCTGACCCTGCAGCTCACAGCCCAACGAGTAACCTACCAGGAGTCTTTCGCTGGGGGAACGGTCAGTCTGACTCACATGTGTTTATAGTCGCCCGGCCCTGGTGCCCGGTGGTTCTCGGGAGAGCCCAGCCGACAGAGGAATGCGCTCAGGAACCTCAGGTCCCGCCTCAGCTGGAGAATTTAATCAGAGGAGCGGCGTCCTAGGGATGTTGGTGCAAATCCATCGGCAAGACCAGGCCTCCAGGAGGATGGAGACTGTGGTCCTGAGTCTCCCGTCAGGTCTGGGACGGAGCTCACCTGAGGCCCAAACACCAGGGAGGTGTAGAGGGGAGCAGCCACACCAGGGAGGTCACACACCTTTGGGTGATTGACACCGTGACACCAAATGGGCAGCCCCTGATCCAGGACTGAGTGCCTCCAGAGAGGGAGGAGAGAGGGACGGAGGAGGAAAGACAGGGATGAGGAATGAGAGACATTACATCGTGGGAACACATGTGCCTGAGAGAACCCTTGTCTCTGAGACCCTCACCCACCTTACAAAGGAGGGAAGTCGGGAGGGAAGGGAGGAAGAAAGATTGGCTGGATGTATGGATGGATGAATGGATGGATGGATTAGTGGATGGATGGATGGATGGATGGATGGATGGATGGATGGATGGATGGATGGATGGATGGATG